TCAGAAAAGTTCCTTACGTTAGTTGACGCTTTCTCCAAATACGCTCAATGTTACCATCTTAGAGATGGCACAGCCTTAAGTGTCATTCAAGCCCTTCTTACGTTTTGTACTCATCGTGACGTTCCTTTGAATATTGTGACTGACTCTTGGCGCATACACCTAATGACAACGGAATCGTGGAGCGCTTACACTCAACCATCCTCGAACACCTCAGAATCTTAAAACATGAAAGGCAAACCGAACCTGCAATTAATCTCATGCCTTACGCAATCTTAGCCCACAATAGCTCTATACACACTTTTACAAAACAAACGTATAAATCAAGTATATGATATGATTAACGTAACCTGTTTTCATGACAGGACTGTTCTGACTGAAAATAGGAAAGTAGACCGCGAACCTGAAAAAGAGTATACCCCTGATCAACAAGTATTCGTACGGAACCCTATGGCAACACGACAAAAAGTCGCATCACGTTTTACACAGGACATAGTCTTAGCAGATCTTCCGATTCATATTTATACCAAAAAGAAACGTGGCCCTGTCGCTAAGTCTCGCCTTAAGCGGACTCCTAAAGATCCTGTATTGTTGCAGGATACTACTCTCCCTACTATTGCAACTGGCTCGAGGACAAGACATAACGATTGACTCATTGCAAGACAGCCCAGGCTTACTCCCATTTCAATTGGGACCGACTAAAGTCATATCCCATTACCATTCTTTCCTAAACCACATCAATCTCAATGACATTCACTTACAAATTCAATCAGTAAAAACCCAAATACTTGAACTAGGACCTCAGTTAAATAATAAGACATTATCTCTATTTGAGCCTCATATTGACTACCTTAGTACTAAACTGGAACGGATTTCTGACCAATTGCAGACATTCAAACCCAATCGTAAGAAGAGAGCGCTCATTGGTGGACTTGGTTCAATAATAAAAAGCCTTTCCGGTAATTTAGATTATACTGATGCAATTAAATATGACAATGCTGTCAGAGTCCTCCAGAATAATGAAAATAAATAATTATATTAGAACTAAATTAGAATCTCTATTTAAAAATCATGTAAGTTTAAATAAAGAATGGACGGCTCAAAATGCTAAAATTCTAATAAATATTACACAAAATCAAGAAAAATTAGCAAAAGTTTGCAACATGATAATGAAATGCGATACCAATAGGGAAACTGTTCTAATAAAATATCTGGCACAGCATCTTATAATTCTAGGCGACAACGTGGACAGATTGTCCGAAGCACTCCATAAGTTAGAAAACACTCTCGCTTTCATAAGGGTTTCGGGCACCCCACATTCGGTGTTAAATATAGCAGATTTGAAAATAATTTTACATAACAGTTCCCGTTCACACGTTGGTTCGGTAGCACGTATTTATCCTATCGTATATTCATATATCATCATTTTTTCTTCTAATCACAATGAATTGCCTTATGTGCGATTCTCCCACTAATGATGGTGTTCAGTGCAGTGTTTGTAAGCATCACTTGTGTTTTTCTTGTGGAGGTATTTCTGAGGCTGGATATAGAAAGCTGGGTTCAGACCGCAGGGCGTCATGGAAGTGCCCGCAGTGTAAACTTACGCCGACTGCAGCTACATCTCCCAAGAAACCCACTACTCCTACAACTGATCCAGCATCAATAGAGTTGGTTCTAACAGAACTGCGTGATATGAAGCGCCAGATTGCTAACTTGTGCACAGTAGTGGACGAGTTCAAAGAACTCAAAAAAGAAATATCGGAGTTAAAGGCGTCTTGTGAATATTCTTCAGCTAAGCTTGATGATTACGATGAGAAATTTTCGAGTATGGACCGTAGAATTGGTGAGATTTCGAGTCTACAAGATATAGTAACATCTATCCAGAATACCACGACTGGACGGAAAGCGAATGTGGAGAAAATGGAGCAGTGGACACGCTTAAGTAATGTTGAGATTAGGGGTGTTCCCTTAAAAAAGATTGAGAATTTGTTTACAATCGCTGAAAACATTGGTAAATCAACCGGCTATCAGATTCTGAGGTCCCAGATTAATTATATTTCCAGAGTTCCTACGTACTCCAAAAATAAAAATATAATTATAAGCTTTATTAATCGCTACGTTAAGGAAGAATTTATTGCTGCTGCGCCTGCCTTTAAAGAGTTAAAAGCATCAGATATTGGGTTTAGCAACGACACACCGAGAATTTTTGTAAATGACCATCTAACTCCAACATCAAAAATTCTACTATCTAAAGCTAAACAGAAAGCCAACGATCTAGGATATTGCTACAAGTGGGTTAAATATGGTAAAATCCATATTCGAAAAAATGATACATCACCCGTCGTCATCATCAGCAAAGACAGTGATTTAAGCAAGATTATTTAATCTGTTTTTATTGTCATAATTTCAAAAAAACAGTCACAATGTATATAAATTTCGTTTTGGCTTGTGTTAATCACGCTTATAGTGTTTCTATTGTTGTTGTTAAATTTAAATATTACATTAAATTTATTAATTACCACGTATTGCTTTTCTTCGCCGGATCAATCCGATTATTTAATTATGAAAGGTTGTTTGCTTCTGCCTCACTTGTCGGAATCGGAATTTAACCAAAACAGAAACCCCAACAAAACCTAAAACTATAACCTCATACGAAACGTTAAGAAACGTGCCTTGACTACCTGAAAACCGATAAAATTTGCCGTAAAACGCACTAAAATGTCAATATCTACGAATTCAAGTCTATAAAAGAGCGATTTAAAAAAGTGTGTAAAACAAATGTCATAAAATTCTATTGTAAACAAACATGTGTGTTCTGATTTGAACGGGAGCCGTCAATGTACAACACAGTAGCAGAAAGCTAAGCATACATACCTCTTTCCCCTTTGAATACTTTTGTACTTTTTTTGAAATGCTTCGTATCTGTTTTGGTTTATTGATTGAATTTGAAAAAGAAAAAAAAACTCAATTTATCGTACAGTCTGTGAGCTGGCTGATCCAGTGCTACCCAAAATTGAATGCTTTTTATTTTAGCAATTTGGTACTACTACACTACACTACTACTATTAACCTTAAAAATATTAATCTAAGTAATAAATTACCACGGCGTATTACCACGTAACTTAATCTTGTTTGGCGATGCGCATGCTAAGTTCAGGGCAATAACAGAGCACTTTTTTCTTTTCTAACTTTTATCTAATAATAAAGTTTATTATTAAAGTTTATTATAATAAACTTTTATTTTTTATTACTTGTTGTATACTATTGGCCCTCTCTTCGTATTAACTTTTTTTGTTCTTTTGAAAAATTATGAGTGGACCTTTTGTTGTATAATAAAAATGCAAGTAAATTAATTTTCTACTCGGCGAACGCAGTGATGGTTAAGTCGTGCAAAATGCTAGGCTTTTGCCTTCTTATGATCCCAGCATCAATAAACTTTACCTTTAACATTAACTCTCGTAAGAAGTTTGGCATTATAACGGCTCTCGTCTGTTCAATTTTCTTTTAAACAGAGTTTGATGTTTCTTAAAAAAAAGGATTTCTCCTTTACATTAAATTGCAAGGGTAAATCGTCGGCAATTGTGAGACGATTCGATTTGAAAATTCTGATATAGAGGCTCAGCTTTAAAATAGCTGACGTCGAGTTGGGAGTTCAAATTTTTTTTGAAAATAGATCTAGTCAAAAGTAATCCACCTACCAAATTTCAGTTTTCGGAATGTTTGTTTGTAAAATCGTGAAAAATCGAAGCAAAAAAGCGCATTTGACAACTATATATTGCAAGAATTGTGTGAAAAAAGCACGCCGACGCGATGTAATGTCTTGCGTTTCGATATTCACTGTCATGTGATGTCGAATGTTGTAAATTTGTCAAAATATTTGTACGTTTTATTTGTTTTTTATACACTCATAATATTTGTATTAAATTTTAAACATTATTTAGAAGGGGTTTTTACAATAGTAGTGTTAATCAATAACAATTTCGTATTGTAAACAATAAAACGCGACTTCATTTCCGTCTATAGATTTTTTTTCTGTCTTGGCTTTCCGGAGTTGTGTTTCAGCTAATTACAAAGTATATTTATTTCATTTAGTGTATTTTTTACCTTTTATATTTGTAAAAAAAAGTCGTGGTAGCCTAATGGTTTGACCTACTGCCTCTCAAGCAGAAGGTCGTGGGTTCGAATCCGGGCTCGCACCTCTGAGTTTCTCAGAATTTATGTGCGAAATTTAATTTAAAATTTAGCTTGAGCTTTTCGGTGAAGAAAAACATCGTGATGAAACCTGCACGTTGAAGAAGGTTCACAACCTTCGAGAAACGTGTGAAGTCCCCAACCCGCATTGGGCCAGCGCGACGGTCTATGGCCTAAACCCTCGTCTGAAAGGAGACCCGTGGTCAACAGAGGAACGTATAAATGGGTTGATGTTAATGATTTATAAACGCTTTTTATTCTTATTAGTTTATCTGCGTTATCTATAATTCGTATTAATTTTTCGCCGCAGACGATACTTTTTTGGAAAATGGTGGAATTTAATGCCTTTCTGAATATATTTTGTTCAAATATACCATTCCTGTCATATTTAGGTGCATCCCCTCCCAGTAGGTTAGATTAGGTTAGGTATATGAACCCCCCCGAAGGGGTTCCCGCCTGGTCCTGGCAGGGGAGCTCTAGTAGCCGTGGTCGATTTCATCCCACGGCGAAGCTAAGAGCAACCAACGGGGCCGGCCGATGGTGGTAGGCTGGCCCGAGGAGGAGGCCGTTCCGCCCGGGTCGTCTGGTCAGTGGGACCGCGCGGATGCGCGCTGGGAGGAGGGTTACGGGGGGAGAGACGTGTCGGTGTGTCGTTGCCGCTCGTCCTGTCCTCCGCGGCCAAACTTGGGCGGTTGGCCCGTGGTGGGCGCTCCAAGGGATTCTCTTGGGGAGAGTCCGCGCGGATGCGAATTAGGTGATGCGGCGGAGCCTGCCATCAGATCCGCCGCAGGGGTTGGGGGAGCAGCCACTAAACTTCACGGTTGAGTAGATGCTGTCCTGGCCCCCCATGGCCCCTGGGTAGCGGACTCGGGGGAGTTCGTTGCCCAGCATAGAGGGGGGCCCGTCTGGTGTTCGGCAAGCCTCACATTCGGAGTCGGGGGAGTGATGTGTCTCCCTTCTCGGGGAGGGGCTGCACAGGGCGCGGCCATCCGCTGGTGGGGGCGCGGACGAGTGGAATAGCGTACCCGTACCCCCACCTACAGCGGAGAGGAGGAACACTCCGGGGGTTTAGTGTGGTCTGGCTGCTCCTCTTCAGAGTTGAGTCCAGTAACTCCGGCTCTGCCCCCGGGGGGCCGGGGTATCTAGTAACCAGATTCCCCTGGATTAACAAAAAAAAGGATAAGTATATGAAAAAGCCGCACGAATCGAGTCAGCGAAGCGAGCATGCGGCGGGAGCGGCCGGTGAGTTTCAGAACCGAATTTAATGCGTCGTTAGACATGTTTTGGTCAAATGTATCATTCCAGAGTATAAATTAATATCTCTAAAACTATTCATTTTCTAAATTTGAAACTCCGTAGGCAGGCTCCCCTCCCCTATCCCCCATTCCCATATTATTCACTCCGCTCTTCCTACATTTGGTGCGAAAATATATGATTTTGAAGTTATTTTTTACGAATTTTCAAAAAATAATATTTCGAAAACTAATAACGTCCTAACTTTAAAACTTTGCAGGGAGAATTCTGACATCAGCGACTTAAAAGCTCTACCTTACTCTTAACTACTGGATGTGTAAAACGAAATATGTATAGGGATTCACACCAAAGGATCGATGATCTTGTCGAAACGTATACTTAATGTAAGTAGGAGAGCGTTTGCCTTGTATGTATTTAGGTTTTTTCGAGTAATTGTTCAGTTTTCGTGTCGCTGGGTTATTGCTTAAATGATTTAATAACCTAACCTCAGTATAGAGTACTAAAAAAACCGATCTCAAAAGTCATTTATTCCCTAGTTTACCACTCTTGGAGGTAGAATATTTTCTTCAAATTGGACTACTTCTGAGGTACCCTCTTTCCCACAAAAAAGAATCATCAAAATCGGTTCACAAATGGCGGAGTTATTGCGTAACATACATACAAAAAAAAACATACAGTCGAATTGAGAACCCCTCCTTCTTTTTTGAAGTCGGTTAAAAATAGAACAAAGCCAATCATGTTTTCCTCAAATAACATACGAGTGATAATAAGTATCACTAGATAATAAATAAAACCATATTATAGGTACATCAACTAGATGTGACAATGTGGCAACCGGCCTCCTTACTTTATTTGACATTTATCTTATTTACTACTTTGAAATATTTGCTTAGTGTTTGATGAGTTTCTCTCAGTGATATTGTTTATTGTTGTCGCCACAACAAAATATAACATTTAATATAGTTAAAACCAGCCAACAGACTGAGATAAAAAAGAAACACGAAAAATATTAATATCGTCAGCTAAATTTGAAACCTCGTAACTCCGTTTTTGAACAAAATCCTCACACGGTTACGAGCTTTTCGAATTTAGTCGACAATATAATATTAATTTTTAAATGTATGTGCATTAATAAACGGAAACAACTTCACTACCCAGAGTATAATATCATTGTCATTACCGGTTTAGTCAGGAGTCATTATTTTGTCATTTGGTTTATTCACTCTTCGTCAACAATTCGTTCAATCGGCAATGTAATAATAAGCAAATTAATTTACTTCCATTTTTATTGATCTGACATTTGTAAACAAAGAAATCATAATCGAACTAGTTAATGCGAAACGCAGACGGCTTTTTAAATTGTTTTTGTAATAGTTAGAAAGCAACACGTAATAACATTAGCCAAGATGTATCCCTTTGTAAAGCACATTACATAAATAATACACCGAATTCAGTTTTATTATGTTTTAAGTGAAGTATGAATGAAGAAGTATGTAACATAAACATTATCCTATTAATGTCATATAATTATAAGAATCGTGAACTTCAGGCTAAGGCTCGCCAATTCAAGAAAGATAAAAATTACAGTTTCCTTTGGGTCCGTAATGGAAGAATTTTGCTTAGAAAAGATGACAAGTCACCAGCCGTCTGGGTTAAGAATACGGAAGTCCTAAAGAATTTAGAATAATTGATAGTATATACTATTTGTATTTGATTTTGTTTTTTCCATGATTCCTGTATTTTATTGTACATAATGCCTAATATAAGCATTTATTATCAAAATACCACGAGCATTAGGGGTAAGCTCGCTAATATTTTTCTTAACAGTCTTTCTAATGATTATGATATTTTAATTATTACTGAGTCCTGGCTGAACGACAGTGTCTTGGATGCTGAAGTTTTAAATAATAATTATACTATATATCGTAGAGATCGCGACA